AATCATATCAAAAGTAGGTGTGGGAGAACAAATAACCGTTGTACAAATCTGGAGCATATATGGGAGAGTTTCAAGTACTCTATCGATTAATCACGAACCTTATCACAATCACATGATTCGACGCCTTTTATAGCGTTTTCCTCTTTCTGAAATTCTCCAATGTTCATTCAATATGGCATCGACAAGGGGTCTCTTAAAAAAAATGGTCTTAGAAATGTCAAACTATTGCTAAATTTTTTTTTCCTTGTGAAAAATTGTTTGCTGTATAATGCGAGTGTCGACAGATCTTTTCCAAAGTCATCACCGTCAATTCCGTGTTAAATCCTAAATGTGAGCCGTGCTAAACCAGCAAAATCCAATTTATTGTCAAATTAAAGAGTAATTATTTTATCGACTTAATTTCTAAACGTTGTAATTTGATAAACGAAGAAGAAAATATCGTGGACAAATGTAATCAAGTACTATATTTATTTTTACAATTATGCATCTTGACAGCAGTTTTAACAGTTCGCCTATGTGTAGAAGTCCAGACGATTGATTGAAAAAGATATTGTGAAATGAATATATAAAAATCTAATAACTCACATAATGTCAAACAATATGTAAAATTTGATGTACATGTAATATGATTGTTGTTTTTATAATATTCCCAATTCATGATTCTGATTTCTGCAACTGTAACGATATTTAAATTTAGCAATAAAGCTAAATTTAGCAATACGATATTTGATGTACATGTAATATGATTGTTGTTTTTATAATATTCCCAATTCATGATTCTGATTTCTGCAACTGTAACGATATTTAAATTTAGCAATAAAGCTGATCGCGGACCCCACCCCCATGTGAGGGACTGTGAAAAAAACTGTCAACCAAAGCTGTAACTCTAACATGGTTAAATTTAGTCCATTTGGTTCAATCCTCAAAAACATGATTCTTCTTTAATTCAATCAAAAGCTTCATGAATGTAGCTCATACTTTTTTTTTTTCGTGTCTGTGTGAGCAAAAGAACAATAAATTCTTCAATTTCCAGAAGAGATTATTTAATTGCAAACCAAATATAGATCCATGCTCAAATGAGTAACAACTAACTCAGACAAGGAAGTTCCAATTACCTCACAAGCTTTTTAAAAACGTTCTTGCGAGCTCTCTTACGAAGACTACTTCATGCTTGTTCGTGATTGCATATAAGTTGTAGGTGAAGATTATAATTGGGTAGTAAATTATAGTCCTACAAAATGAGTACATAAAAAAGTTAAGCTTAGCCAAACACGCGTGCAACAGAGAAGGTTTGGGTGTGATCTGGTTATATGTACTTTCTGCAAGGAAAACATTGAGTGAAGGTCTGAAATTGCCGAAGAGAGCATTTTTTATACATAAGAAACAGTACTATAAATAAAACTTTAAAATGTATTGTTGAGTGAATAGCTGTTGCTCAGAAACCACGAGGCTACGATTTGAGAAAGGGAACGGGGGTTGGTGGGGGGGGTGAAGGTTCGTTAGTGAATCTTACAAAACGGAATTCAAAATTGACTATTTCTAAAGAATCAACAACATTGAAATGTACCAAGATTTTGTGTCCTTTTCACCCTAGTTCAAAATTTCAATTGTAGGAGTAAAATCGATAACTATAAGGAATTTAAAAAGAGAATAATTCTTGTTGTACATAATTATTGTACATAGAGCATGATATAACACTCACATGTGGTGGACCCCACCAAAATGGTGGGCCCCACCCCATGTGAGTGTTATGTCATCCTCTATGTGAATAATTATGTACCCCAAGCAAGACCCAATTTTTTTTCCTCGTGAAAAACTATTTGCTGTATAATGCGAGTGTCGACAGATCTTTTCCAAAGTCATCACCGTCAATTCCGTGCTAAACCAGTAAAATCCAATTTATCGTCAAATTAAAGAGTAATTATTTTATCGACTTAATTTCTAAACGTTGTAATTTGATAAACGAAGAAGAAAATATCGTGGACAATTGTAATCAAGTACTATATTTATTTTTACAATTATGCATCTTGACAGCAGTTTTGACAGCTCGTCTATGTGTAGAAGTCCAGACGATTGATTGAAAAAAATATTGTGAAATGAATATATAAAAATCTAATAACTCACATAATGTCAAACAATATGTAAAATTTGATGTACATGTAATATGATTGTTGTTTTTATAATATTCCCAATTCATGATTCTGATTTGTAACGATATTTAAATTTAGCAATAAAGCTAATCGCGGACCCCACCCCCATGTGAGGGGCTGTGAAAAAAACTGTCAACCAAAAATGTAACTCCAGCATGGTTAAATTTAGTCCATTTGGTTCAATCCTCAAAAACATGATTCTTCTTTAATTCAATCAAAAGATTCATGAATGTAGCTCACACTTTTTTTTTTCGTGTCTGTGAGCAAAAGAACAATAAATTCTTCAGTTTCCAGAAGAGATTATTTAATTGCAAACCAAATATAGATCCATGTTCAAATGAGTAACAACTAACTCCTCAGACAAGGAAGTTCCAATTACCTCACAAGCTTTTTAAAAACGTTCTTGCGAGCTCTCTTACGAAGACTACTCAATGCTTGTTCGTGATTGCTTATAAGTTGTAGCTTATAAGTTGTAGGTGAAGATTATAATTGGGTAGTAAATTATAGTTCTACAAAATGAGTACATAAAACAGTTAAGCTTAGCCAAACACGAATGTATGTAACAGAGAAGTTTTGGGTGTGATCTGGTTAAATGTACTTTCTGCAAGGAAAACATTGAGGGAAGGTCTGAAATTGCCGAAGAGAGCATTTTTTATACATAAGAAACAGTACAATAAATAAAACTTTAAAATGTATTGTTGAGTGAATAGGTGTTGCTCAAAAACCACGAGGCTATGATTTGAGAAAGGGAAAGGGGGTTGGGGGGTTCGTTAGTGTCTCTTACAAAACGGAATTCAAAATTGACTATTTCTAAAGAATCAATAACATAGAAATGTACAAGATTTTGTGTCCTTTTCACCCTTGTTGGTTAAACAAGACAAGAACAGGCAACTGTACACAATCAAATGTGAACATCTGACTAGTGCTGGAAGATTTTCAAATCAGGCAGATGAGCTTCCTTAACCACTAGTTGACATTGGAACCATCCACGAGCTACTTTACAATGCATTGCCATGTAAGAATGTAGCTAGTTCACAACCACATAGGAGCAAGACCTGTATTTAGACACTGAAAGCCAATCTTGAAATTAAAGCACTACTTATCATGAAAATCAAGTCCACCGGATACACTAGTGATTGCTGAACCACGTCATTTAAGAGCTTAAGTTGTATAATAGAAGATACATTTTTTTTATTTGAACTTAGTTTTCAATGTGCCTCATCACGACTGCTGGATTGATTTTTAAACTGATTTTTCATAAATTGGGGGAAATGAGGTTGGTTGAACATGGAATCTGAGCAAGCTGAGGCATCAATAGTCATAGATTTTCTAGTCATTTCCCATCTAAGTTTTATCTAGTAGGTGGAACTTTGTACTTTCTGAGCTACTTATCACTTTCCCGTGCATATAAAAGCTCCTAGCATAATCTTTCTAGTCAGCCTTTTCATTTTCATTTTCATTATATCATATTTGTGCACACGATAACTTCCATCTTGGGACTCTTATCTTGTATAAGAGTGAATGAATGAGCACACTAAAGCTCCTAGCCTTTCCACTTTCATCTATCTCCCCTATTAGTGGTACTCTTATCTTGTATAAGAGAGTGGGTGAACCAAAGGACAGCAAAAACAAATGATCATTTGTTAGAATTACCTTGCATACTTGAATATAAATTCGCTTCTCATTAATGTACCACATTCCATACCAAATGATTATATGCTCTTGAAAGAAAGTCCTCGTTACATCTATATGCAACCATATGGACTATGGTCCACATCCAGGTATAATGCTCAGCATAGTGCAGCAATATAAATTCGCCTTAGGTCTCCGATATAATCATCCAATACATTCACTCCTATTATGGAGGCCAGTTTCCTTAATTATAAAAATCCAGCAGGCGGACAGAGTCCTACAATTTTGAACAATTTTGACAGAACCTTGTCCGATCCTATGCTTCTTCTAACTCAAAATCTCTTGATAATTATGGTCTAGTGCAAAGAATTATCTCGACAACTTAGTGATATAAAAACTAAACACTTAGCATAAGCTGCAAAACCATTCTAAGCAAGAGGCCAGGCAAAATCCAGGTAATACTGTCCTGAAGTTTGATCCCACGGACAAAGTTCACATGGGCGGTAATGGTACACAGATATCGAACAATTTTGGTAGAACCTTGTTCGATCCTATGCTTCTTCTAACTCAAAATCTCTAGAGAATTATGGTCTAGTGCAAAGAGTTATCTCGAAAACTTAGTGATAACGGTAGTGGTACACAGATTCCACATATGGTCCATTACTTTCACCAAGACCTGATGGTTTAAATTGATTCAATGTTTTAATGAAGAATAACTTATGTACAAACTGCAGATTTCTCCAACCACAACAAATCCATTATAAACTTTGTAGTTTTTCTTCTAGGAAACCCAACTATAGGCAATATTCTTGTGAGAACTCAAGTAAACCAAAACATAGATAAAATAGCAACAAAGATTCAGAGGGGGGGATAAAAGGATATAAAACTGAAACATGACATTCAATTCTTAAAACATGATAAATGGACAAAATGTCTGCTAAATAATTATTGATCAGCCAAAATAATTAATATCTAAGTCTACAAGAAACGTGAAGACAAATATTAAGCAAAGCATCCAAAACACAGATTTTAGATAGCAGGTGATATATAGATCCAATCTAGGTACAAAAATCCCCAGCTAAATTTCCCCTAACGACGAGGCAGTTCCTCATATATTCTTCTACCAAGAAATATTACAATTCCGCTGTATAATAACCATCAAATAGGATTACCTTTATCCTCAATCCCATTACATCCGACCTATTTGATCGAATCTAATTACACACGCGTAGCGACGGATGGGGCAGCTGCAGCCGCGGCGGAAGCTGCGCCGCCTAGAAAGGAAAGAAACCCAGCATTAGCCGGCTCTGAATCGTCCAGGAACAAATCCTCAGGCACGCGGAATGCACCATGTGTACAAACAACAGCTAGGCCAACAAGCAAAGCTGAGATGAGCAGCGATCCAACGCTGGTGAGGAACACCACAACTATGGTAGACACCACCAAAATCCCCAAAATCTCACGAGGCGAAAAAGTGCGTCCGGCGATAACAAGTGGCTGATCCGAAGGACGGAACAAGTAAAGGAAAAGCCACGCACCAAGTAGGGCTAAGAGAACAAGTAACGAAAAGGGGTGGGAAATAAGGGAGAGCGCGAGTGAAAGCGCGATCAGGGAAATGTAATTGATACGAAAGTACGAGAAGTTCTTGCGGACGCGGGAGGCAGCTTCAGATAAGGAGTCTGGGCGGGCGAAGGAAGAGCGATCGAGGAGTTCGTACCAGGGGCGGCGCTGGGAGAAACCGTGGCGGATGTTTGCGGAGAGGTTGGAGAGGAAGGAGCGGAAGGCGGGGGTGGAGATCGACGGCGCCGCCATGTCAGATTGGGAGGTCGAGATCGGGAGCGTCGGTGGAGAGGCCATACGTGATTTTCAGAGAGGAAAAAATTTAGACGCGTTTCAATTCAACGTCCAATGAAGTCTTCTTCACGGGATTTTTTGGTCCTTACATTTTTTTACAGGTTAAAAAGGTAAATTTTTATTAGCCCTTACATTTTTGGTATTGTCGAAATTGACGCCCATGTTTGAAACCCATTTTTTTCTCATTCTATTTCTCATTTTTTTCTCTTTCTTCATTTCAACCACATATTCTATCAATAAAATAATATTACACATAAATCCAAAAATTCTTCTTATTTTTCAACCACACATTCTTCCCATCAATCACTATTCCAAAATTTATTCTTCACAAATGGGTGTCAAACAGGGGCTCAATAATCTGAACTGTTTGACTCTTGTAAAAACTATTTTGCCCTTTTTTTTAATAAAATAAAAGAGAGAGAGAGTACAAAAATATAGCTGAATTTTTATGGGAAAAAATTGAAATCTAATTTAAGAGTATTAAATAGAGCGAGCCGAGCAACCATATTTTATGAGAAAAGATTGCATCTAACTTAGGAGTATTAAAATAGACGAATCAGACTGCTGAGTTCGCATACCATCGTATTCTACTTAATTCTTTAGATAAAATAGTTGTTCATTAGGAGCCTGTCTGGTAAAAATTTTCCTGGCCACAAAAATCAATTCTCCTACCGTTAGAGATCATGTCAGCCGCAACATTTGACCCACCTTCTCACAGGCGGGTCCCACTTACCACTACAAACGGTCAAAATATCAATTAGAATTGGGCAAAAATTCCTACCAGACATGCTCTAGATAAACTAGCTCACTCAACAAGTACGGTTCAACCCGTGAGCTATTGGGATCATACACGAGCCAACGTGCAACTCGAATGGTCTGATCACGACTCCACAAGCGAGCCAAGCCGACAAGCATCTCCTCCTACTTAGGCCCCGTTCGGGAGTGATTAAAATCCAATTAAAATTGAAAATATGGCCGTTATTGGGTCTCACCCGTTTAATAAAAGTCAACAATAACGGCTATATTTTCAATTTTAATCCGATTTTAATCATTCCCATACAAGGCCTTAATATTCCTAATCTAACTCCAGATTTCGAACACTTCGTTTTTTCAGTGTTAATACCATTAGCATCACAAAATCGAGGGTCCAGTTCCTGTTTTCAATTATTGTGCTCACCCTCTATGGAGAATCTAACTAGAAAAATTGGAAAAAGCCAGTCCCATACCCTCACAGATGGAAAGAGAATCTAACTAGAAATAAAGTATGCCAAAATGAGCATGTAATTAATTTAAAGTACAAAAATCATATAAGTATTTATTAATTACATATTGAATGTTTCTACAAAAATATAAAAATATATATGTCGGATCGAAGAATAGAACATATTATAAATTTTCACATGCAACTAAATTTAATCTTTCTAGTCTTCTATCGTCTATTTCATCGTACCTTAAGATTTACATTGGGCAATATTCCAAGTAATAATATAAGTGAAATGAAATTGAAAAAACTCGACTGGTTTGAATCTTCTGTAACTATATTAGCCGGCTTATTTTAGTACAAAACGTTCATGCGTTTGGCTTTTAGTATGCAAAACGTCCATACGTTTCAATTTTTTACATTTCACCCATATTTTCACGTTTCATTGCGAAAAACATCATTTTCCTTAATTTTCATCCATCTTCTCTATAAAAATCTGTGAAATGACAAATATACCTTCTTATTTAAACTAAATAAAAAGAAAACAACAAAGAACTAATTGCAACCATAGGTCCAAATTTGTCAAAAAAATACAAATGAGTCTCAAACAAATAATTAAAAATCAAAACCCAAAACAAAGTTTACTTCATTCTAATTTCCATCTCCAATGGCTTAATCAAATTCATTTACATCTGCCTTTTTGGCATTACCCTTTTCAATAGAACCTTCATCATCTGACTTGCTTCTTTTTGCACTTGATTCACTGTTTTCTGATGCAACCTGCATTGAATTAATCAAATGTGTTACTACTTTGATTTCCAAAAACAGGGATTCCAAATCCTCAAATGCTTGAAGAGAAATTAGCTTACATTGGCATCTATGGCGGGGATTTCTTTAGCATTTCCCCTTCGAACTAATTTCCTCTTTCTTGAATTTGAAATATTTTGTGTTTTAGTGCCATTTCTCCCTACTGGGATCTTCTTAGAAACTGAAGAATTTTCACAGGAATCCCCAAGCTCTGTTTTATCAGGGGTTGAAGATCTCGAAAACCTGTCAAATCTTCTATCAAAGGCTGAAATTCCTTCCTGAAGTGGGGCATTCTTGTTTTATTGAATCCGGAATGGGTGGTCCACCACTGTGAAAACCACTGCCGCCGCTGAAATTGATGGAGAAAGGTAGTGCGTGTTCGCGCGACCATCTGTATTTTTGGTTGATTTTGACCATATAAATATGTTGTTTGTTCAATTGATTTATGGGAAAGTGTTTGGGGGGTTATGGTGGCTGCTTGTGGTGTGTGTTCCAACACTTTAGGTGGCAGTTGGCTAGATGGAGGCTGGCGGTTCCATTTGTTCCGTTTTATTTATTTATTTGGTTGGGGTGGGATGGCATGGGATGGAGGAAGATGATGAAGTTATTTTTATTTTTGGTTTTCTTTTAATTATTTGTTTGCGACTCATTTATAATTTTTAAAAAATTTGGGTCTATGGTTGCGATTAGCTCTTTATTGTTTTCTTTCTTTCGTATTGTTTTATTTAAATAAGAGGATATATTTATCATTTTACATATTTTTATAGAGAAAATGGATGAAAATTGAGGAAAATGATGTTTTCCGCAATGAACCGTCGAAATATGGGTGAAAATGCAAAAAAAAAAAAAACGCCGCTGAAATTGATGGAGAAAGGCAGTGCGTGTTCGCGTGACCATCTGTATTTTTGGTTGATTTTGACCATATAAATATGTTGTTTATTCAATTAATTTATGGGAAAGTGTTTGGGGGTTTATGGTGGCTGCTTGTGGTGTGTGTTCCGACACTTTAGGTGGCGGTTGGCTAGATGGAGGCCGGCGGTTCCATTTGTTCCGTTTTATTTATTTATTTATTTATTTGGGTGGGGTGGGGTGGGGTGGGGTGGGAGGGAGGGAGGAAGAGGATGAAGTTATTTTTATTTTTGGTTTTCTTTTAATTATTTGTTTGCGACTCATTTGTAATTTTTAAAAAATTTGGGTCTATGGTTGCGATTAGCTCTTTATTGTTTTCTTTCTTTCGTATTGTTTTATTTAAATAAAAGGATATATTTATCATTTTACATATTTTTATAGAGAAAATGGATGAAAATTGAGGAAAATGATTTTTCCGCAATGAACCATCGAAATATGGGTGAAAATGCAAAAAAAATTGAAATAGACGTTTTGCACACTAAAGACCAAATGTAAGGACATTTTGTGTTAATAAGTCATATTAGCCTTCACAAACTACAGAACAAAAGACAATGATTTTTGGTTATTAGAGTTCATGTAAAGATTTCTCATCTAAAAGTTGACATTTAGATGATATTTTGCATCATAACTTGTATGGATAAATTTTGTTCTTAAACACTGAAGAGATAAAAACAGAGGGGGGGGGGGGGGGGGGGGGGGGTTTTGGGGGGGG